GCACGTTTGAATAGTTTGGGCACGTCATGGACCTAATGTAATGTTCTAAAAAATAAAGCAGGAAAAAATAAAAGAAAAACGGAGTCAAAGAAGGAGAAGAATTTATTGATTTCCAACCTTTGACGAGGAGACGGAACCTAAAGAATACGTTCAGGAGGCATTTATGCCACCTAACAAATCAGCGATATTCAATAACTTGACCGGAGTTCATTAAAAGTGCCAAGTCTTTGGAATAAATAGGGTAGCCATCTTTGTTGTGAAAGCTTAAATTAAAGCAACAGTAGATGAACTGATGCTAGAGACGGTCAAAGTCTGCTGTAATTTGTGGACAGCATCTTCCGACAATGTAAATATAATAACTTATCAATGATCTATGGAAATCTTAGATTGATCATTGAAATATTACGTGATGTTGGAAGGGTTTATTTTAAATGTTGGAGAATAACTGTAGGACCACATTGAGACATGAACACCACGAAATGTTGATAAGAAAAAGTAAGTCATCTTAAGAGGAAGGGGAAAAAATTATTTAAAACTAACCTTGTTTGTTACTATCCTCTGTTTCAAGTACCTGTTGCAATATACGATAATTACCCGCGAATATATGGGCACTATTTTACTCATAAAAATCTAAAAAACTGTAAAAATAGGTAAGACTTCAAACTTCAATACTTGAGGATGGCGCAATTTTATGAAATAATAGTTCTATAGTACTAACTTGTGCTATATCGAAAGAAATTTCGCACTCATGTAAACCTATAAGTAAAATTTGCTGTATAAAATATACATTAAAAAAAACAAGTGTTCCAAAAATTAGTCCCTAAAATATCATTGGGCTGGCGCTTAAAAAAATATCACTACAAAAATACTAACATAAATTATTATATATGATTTAATTCCCTTCTACCCATAGGGTATAGAGAAAAAATACTAATAACGAATATAAACTAGCCGTCACTAAAAAACAGACATCATTGTAATTTATAATAACAATTTCTTAAGTTATAAATTTGTTTTTAATTTTTTTTACTCTAAAACTAGTTTTGATCAAGAAATTAAAATTTAACATATTTCAGAAAACATATTGTACGATGATCTCAACAATAATAAACTGAAATTTATATGCCATTTACTGCATTTTTGCTGCTCTAGTTTGGAGGGAAGGACAAACAAAGGAAAGTTTATGTCGCTAACAGATCAGTGGTTTAACTACCGAGCAACGTATATTTACATATCGTATACAAACGTGACTTCACATTCAACCTCCTGGAATAGGTTTCCAGACAAAAACTTCTCTAGAGATGACTATTTTAATAGTACCTTCAGTATTAAAACATCCTCATTCAACCGTCACACAGATTAGAAGTAATCTTAATGTTCGGAATACAAATGTTTCGATTCCCTGGAGGTCGCGGAAGACTAAAGAAAAGGGAGTCAACGATGTTATCTCTAGAGTAACTTTTCAAAAGCGTTCCGTTGTAAGTATGGACCGAAATCTAAGGATAGAATAGCACATTGTGCCTAAGGGATGTCTAAGAAGCAAGATCATGTCCTTTAGGCATTATTCATTGGAAAAAATCTTATACTGATTCTAGATAAAGGTATGACATTGAAAAATCCTCATGAAGTTAGCATTATAACTGCTCTAAACATGTTCTATAGAATTATAATGTGGATTAGCTCAGAGAATTTTAAATCAAGAAACTGCCAGACATCTTAAAAAACTTTGTACCCATAACGGAACGAATGATAATCCTTAAACTTGATACCTACCCAATAACAACATTATTTAGGTATATATCACTACCGCTGACAAACCAGACGACATAAATGAAGCAATCTATAATGAATGCATTGAAACACCTTCCCAAAAGGATCTAACCTTGATTATGGGTGATTTAAATGCCAAGATTGATAGGAGACAATCGGGAGAATTCATAGGACAGTTTGGGATTGGAGAAAGAAATGAGCGAAGGAACCGATTGGGTGAATTTGTATCAGAAGAAGAGTTCGTAATTACTAACACTTACTTCAAACTCCCATACAGAAGATTATACACGTAGAAATCACTTAGGATACTTCAGGCCACATAGTCAGAAATCAATTACATTACATTATGAATAATAAGAATCTGTAAGAGCATTAAATCAGTCAAGACATACCCAGAAGCCGATATCAAGATAGACCACAACCCACTGATTTGCAAAATGAAAGTCAGGCTAAAGAAGATTTGAAGTAGTGTCAACCCAAAATACGACATCATTCTACTCAAAGACTAACGCACAGAAAATATTGTTAAACAGTATATACATAGCAATTTGAATACAGTTATTCAAACTGATCTAACAGACCAGGAGCTTGAAAAATTGCATAGAGTTTTACAAGACATACAAGAAAAATTCCTCAAACCACCAAAAATTAAGAAGAAATCGTGAATGACAAATGAGATTTTAGATATGATGGAAGAGAGGCGCAAGGACAAAGATCGGGACAAGACATTATACAAAAGAATAGACAAAAAAATTTAAAAAGCAATCAGACTGGCTAAGGAGACACAGCTGAGAGAACAATGTACGGAAATACAGCTATTACAACAGAAACACGATTCGTTCAATATGCACAAAAAAGTTAAAGCTGCAGGCTTATACAAACCTAGAAGAGTTGGATGTTTGGAAGACAATCAAGGTAATCCACTACTAAGTGTGGAAGAGAGACTAGACACTTGGAAGAAATATATAGAAGTAGCATTTGCAAATGAAAGACAGATTGCCATTGAAGACATAGAATGCCAAACAGGACCCCCGATTACCATTGAAGAAGTCACGGCAGCTATTAGAAAAAACTAAAGATGGTAAAGTTGTAGTGTCTGATAAATTTTATACAGAATTCCTGAAACTTATTGGCGAACAAGGAATACAGTGGAAAACGACTATATTTAACAAAATATGTATGAAACTAAAAATATTAACCAAAACTGATTAAAGTCGACCTTCGTAACTATACCAAAAACATTAAATGTAAAACCATGCGAAGACTACAGAATAATTAGTCGAATGAGCCAATTACTCAAAATGTTTTAGGATAGTGATAGTGATACATTTTAGGATATATAAAAAATGTGAAGAACTAGTGTCATGTACATAATTTGGATTCTGCGATACCTTAAGCACCCGAGAAGTTCTATTAGCTATACAAGTGCTTATCCAGAGGTGCAGAGATGTCAACTATGATGTTTTATCGACTACAAAAAGGCATTTGATAGAGTAAAACATGACAGGCTCATATCCATCTTGAAAGAAGCGTGCTTGGATGTTACAGACTTGTGAATTATTCATAATTTATATTACAACCAAACTGTCAATATTAAAGTAGATGACCAGTTGACAGAGACGATCTCCATAGATGGAGGAGTGAGATAAGAGTGCATTCTGTCTCCAATGCTATTTAACATGTACCCGGAGCGTATCTTCGAGCAACTAGAAGAAGGCGTCTTTGTAAACGGAGTGCATCTAAACAACCTAAAGTAATGCTGACGACGCAGTAGTTTTTGCAGATAGCCTAGATGGTTTACAAACAATAATGTCGAGCATATCAGATATAATAATCGAATATCTGGAGCATATAATGAGAGGAAGCAGATATAGGATAATGCAGTTGATACTCAACGAAAAGATCGACGGAAAAAGGGGAATTGGTAGGAAGAAATACTCATGGCTCCAAAACCTTCGTCAATGGACAGGCTTATCAGCAGATGAATTATAACATGCCGCGCAAAATCGAGAACGATATGGGCAAAATCTCATGTAAGCTACGCACGCCTAAAACTTGGGCACGGTACTCAAAGAAAAAGAAGATAACAGATATAAGTCGAGAATATGGGCTGGATCTTACTCCGAACAAAACAAAGTACGTGGTAGTTAGTAACCGCGAAATATTAAATACACATATTTTAGTAAACCCACAGACAATTGACAATAAACTTCTTTAGGAAAGCTCGAGGCCTTCGAGATGTGGTGTTATAGGCGCATCTTACGAATTTCATGGAAGGATCGTGTGACTAATAGAGGTCCTATGTAGAATGGGCAAGCAATGCGAGATCACTAACACAATCAAAGAACGCAAATTAGAATAACTTGGCCATGTTATGAGAAATAAACACAGATATGGCTGGTTGCAACTCATACTTCAGAGGCAAGGTATGTATTTGGAAAGAGGAGACCAGGAAGAAGAAGAATATCTTGACTTCAAAACCTAAGGAAGTGGTCCAATACGTCTACAACAGGACTATTCTGAATGGCTGCTAGTAAAGTTAGGAGAGCTATGCTGATCGCCAACATCCGGAACGGATAGGCAGGTAAGAAGAAAAAGAACTCTTTTAAAAGATTACAAAGCAATTTCACTAAATTAATAACAGGTATTATTTCGGCAACAAGAAATTACTACTGATTCTTTTGTACTGTTCTGTTTCTAGTGATAAATTGTAGAAGTGTACAATTTTTTTTGTTAAGTGTTATGTAAGATTGATCTTAGTTGTAACCCGTTGACATATAAAGTGTCACAGGTGTCAATGCAGTAATCATTGGCGGCATCTGTACACCAGATACAATAAACACACCATTAACCTGGTACATCTTCAAATAGAAGATCACTTAGATAAGATTTGTCATACCTGATATAAAATAATTGAACGAGACGAAGCTATAAAGTTTTCTTAAACCGATACAACATGACTCATTTGTCTTGCATGGACAGAAAAACAAATCGTTCTAATGGAGGGAAACATAGAATCGGACATCTCACACCTGTGAGCTCCCAGGAATCTCGTCTAAAGGCATGTATAGGAAGAGTTACGCCTTGTAGACCAACTGTGTAATACACACTTTTCAAAAGTTATAAATAAGGTCAAAAGAAAATTTAGATAATTTTATCAAAAATTATAGGGTGTCTGTTTTTTTTGGCCGTGAGATGAATGTAAAGTTTAAAATACATTCTTAAAAATCTTACCCCCTCATCGAAACTTCACCACTTATTACCTTACACAAACACACTTTATAAATAATTTGTGGGAAATCGATAAAAACTGACACAGCAGCAAAAATGCACTCGTATGGCTCCAGATCATAGACATGCTGTTTTCTAGTCATTAGTTGTATGTCGTATATATAATACCCAGTCACACAAAAAGAGACCAAAGTACTAATAGTTATTTCCAGATAAAATTCAGCAATTGCAAAAATTACAGCAATAATAACAAAATGCAAAGTAAATGTAAAAAGAAGGCCTTTCAAAACATTAAACTTTATGCAAGTTGGATTAGCAAACAATCCAAGGCCAAAACAAGTTGCACAAATAATTAAAGAAGTAACCAGTAAAATGTAATTGTAGAAAACAGTCGATAAGCACGCGATTAAAAAAGCCTTTGACAATGTAAATGATATAAGTATTGCATAATTTACAGGAGAGTCTCTTCTTAATTCTCCACAAAAACCCACGATCAATAACACCATAAATAATAGTACTCCAGCTACAATCAAAATACCGAAGTTCTTCTGGATAAAAAATTTTGTTTGATCTTCGAATAAAAACCAATAGGTTACGCCAGAAGTTACAGCAAATTGGGCACTGATGATCCAAAATACTTTCAGAAAAAAATTGGCTTTGATGTAGGCGTTATCAAAGTTAAATCCATCTTCGATTGTATTTTGCTTGTGATCTAAAAAAATATTTTGATTAATAATAATAAATTTTACTTTAAGAAATCAATTTAAAGAAAATAAGATACTCTAAAACAAGTTTAATAGTTCAGAGAAATACGATATTTCCGTGACTTTGAACCGTATCTGACAATTTTTTTAAATCCTTTGCTAACCATCAATTCGACGATTTAAATCAACGATCAATGGTTATTTTTCAAATGAGTTGCACCATTCTAAAAACCATTGGTTTACAAACCAACAATTTATATGTGGCAACATTGCACGAGTACAGAGTATTTCGATTATTTAATTCGAATCGGAGTGTGATCTGTCAAAAAGATTGTCAACAAAGAAAGTTTTGTGAGGTTATGCCAATCCAATTGAACATTGAACTATTATACCTAATTAACATTCTTTTTCTTGCAATTTTGTGTGTGTAGTGTGTATTTAAGATGGAAAATAAAGGAAGCCACTTCTCTATTCATTTTATTTCTTATTTGGTGGGGTTTAAGCACAATATTAATAATTTCATTATAAAAGTCATACAATTATTTAAGAAATATATTTTACAAAATTTTTATTCAAATCAGTGTTTTGTGTACTTTTATTTACCTCTACAAGATCAACAAGAACTTGTTGAAAGCAACCAGTTGCATAATACCTTAGGGTTATTAAAATTTGACTTAATGAGACACCGGATTATTCCTTTCTGTCCTATAACTTAAATGTTCATGAAAACATTCTAAAAGGACCGACACTATTTTCTTGCTTACTCGATATCTAAAAATAATTAAAATGCATTTCTAGTCATTGAAATAAATAATGATATATGTACCTTGCTTGTGTATATAGGAGTGTCATTTACCCATATGCCCATTGGGCTGCATTTTCTCATCCAATATTTTAAATCATTACCAAGATATATTTTAAATAGGGTTGGGGAAAGGCAAGAGCCCTGTTTGACACCCTTTGTTTGGGTGAAACCCTTGGTAATTTGGTTTCCAACCTTAATATAAGCTTGGTTATCTTGATATAGCTTTTTCACGGCATTTATATATACTGCATTTATACCTGCGTTTTCCAATGTTGTCCATAGTCTCTGCAGTGGTACGGAGTCAAACGCTTTACGGAGATCTATAACAGTGGCATGAAGTTCTAGTCCTCTTGCTAATCTCTTTTCCGTTAGATGTTTGAGAGTAAATACATTGTCTACACAAGATCTCCCTGGTCGGAATCCACTTTGTTTGAAATCAAAAAATCAATCGTTTATTTGTTGGTGCAACTAGACATAAGCCCTTTTCTTGTCGACCACTTTACTCAAAAACCATATTAGATAATTAAAATATTTGTTCGGAATATTATTAGTATTACGTATGAGATTGTCAAGATATACTTTTGGTACAAAAATTCACTTCCGGTTTTGAGATGACCGGAAGTTAAAATTTACTTTAGACCCCACAATGTACATATGGATCGAACGGTCTCGTCGAGACGAATCTAAATATGTACTTCCGGTTGCGATCCGACACCGGAAGTGACCCGAAAACGCGCATAAAACGTCAAGATAAAGCAAATCTGACACCGAATTCGTGATCAGCATGCAAAATTAACTGCTAAATGATATTCATGTCGACATTTGATGAACTAAAAATTGCATTCCGGTTTTGAGGTCGACTTCCGGTTTCGTTTTTATTAAAAAAGTTTACATAACTCCCGGTGCCAAGCAAAAGTTTTCAGAAAATGGAGACATTGTAACAAAAAACATTGTTTTCGACGAAATATTTCGTAATATTTAATACACTTTTTACTTGCATTATTATTGATGAATGTTATGTATATTCTTGCTTATATTGTTTGTATTGATCTCTTAATTTTTCTCGCAAAATAAAAATTTCATTTAAAAAACTCGCTGTCGAGTTGGTCTGCTAGTTTACTCTAACATAAGTATTTTTAAATTATGGGTGTGATTGAGCTGAACTACAAAACCGTTTGTAGATACTGAAAATACGAAAGAAACGCTACCAGTTTGAAAGCTGTACCTTTATTTGATTTATAGCAGCTGGCATTTGTGTCCAGACATTCATTTGATTCAGACGCTAAAATTATTTGTGTTACGGGTAACAATAATGAATTTCAACAAAGTACTTTCTAGTTGAGAAATAAACACAAAAATTTTTGTGGTGACTAGTTATTATGTATATTTATTGATTTACTACTGCGTGTGGAGGAAATACGCAGTGAATTTAAAATACAACTCATTTAGTGAAGGCCATCTGCAGACGGTCTTGTCGCTTAGTTGCAAAATTTTTCTACTATTTTCTTATTATTACGCGTATTTTTGTTCTTTGTTTTACCTACTAAACGTGCGGTTTTTTATGGATTTCAGGAAAAGGATTCTATGTCTCTATTCTAAGTGAAGAAGAAGTAATAGACATTATGGAATCATTTACGGATGAAGATGTTAATGACATATTCAGTGGTCTGGATTACGAGCGTGATGAAATAACATCTGAGGATGATAAGATGATAACTGAATGCATGCAAAACAGAGATTCAACCATTATATTTGTACAGGTTGCGAACTTATCGGTGAATATCAGTAGTACCTACTTCACACAGTTCGACCGATGCTACTCAATAGCATAAACCAGAAACATTATTTTGCCTAACACTCCAGACATAGATATTACAGGAAACGTTGTTATCAGGTTATCGCATACAGTGTCAGATTTCCTGAATCATGTCATTTACTTTGATAACTTTTACACCTCATTGCCTCTAATGGTTTACTTGAGGGTCCGTGGCATTTTTGCTCTTGGTACTGTTAGGAGCAATCGAATTTCTATCTGCAAATTGCCAGGAGACACTGATAAGGATTTGAAAAAGAAAGCAAGAGCTTATTCTATCGAATATTGCGGATTAGCTTATGGTGTTAATCTGATCACAGTTTTGTGGAAAGACACTGAAAATGTTAGACTTTATTCAAAATATATTGGTGTAAAACCTTTCTTGAAAACCCAATCAGTTATTCAACCGACTAAGGTCGCTCGATATGATAAGAAAGCAAACAAATACATCGAGATTGGATATCCACATATCATCCGAGAATACAACTCTCACATGGGAGGTGTAGATCTCATAGATTCATATATGGGTCGAAATGGACAAGAAAAAAAAACAGAATTTCGAGAAAAATCGAAATTTCTCCGATGAAACTGAAAGACAAAAAGACAGGCAACAATTTTGATCGAAAATGCTTAAATTGCTGTGTGCTACCACCGAAAAACGTCCTGCTGGACGACCATCGTCCATTGCACAGCCATCTAGTAGTTCTGCTGTCGGTAGACGAGCTATTCATCAGGTGGATAGTGTAAGATAGTACGGATTGAATCATTGGACTGAATGGGGATCAAAAAAGTCGTGCAAACTGTATATAAAGTATGACACTTATTCCTTTTGCACTTCATTTGTGTAACAAGAAAGGTAAAAGTTGCCTCACACAGTATCACACCAAAGTCTGATACCTTTTTGTTTATTTACTTTTAATTTGTTTTCAATAAAAATATTATTTTTGTACACCTACTAAATGTGTTTTCATAAATTTTTCTTCTGAACGACAAGACCGTGTGCAGACGGTCTACCATTTATTAAACACACACACAATATCGCTAAACTGAGCTCAGATTCGTGTTTTTCACATCCAAATTACCCTAAAAACAAAATTCCTGAAACTTAAAACCTGCTATTTCTATCTTGCCGATTAAAGGGTTAAGTTTTATGGACCTTGATAACTCAAACCTCTGTGTTTGCTGTAGTAGGTTCGGTGGATTTTTTAATTATTAACAATTTAAGGCCAAAAATGCACCATTTGAAGAACTTTCGTCTGCCAACCAAAATTAAGGCATTGGGAACGAATTTGTAGGTAATTATTTGATAAGAATGGCGATTTATGAATGTAGGTTTACTATCTTCAGCAAAGAGATAATGAAATGAGTCACAAGCGTAATCTCTTAAGTTATCATATAATTTAGCTGTGCCTATGAGTTTTAACAATAAGTGTGTCATTAGCGGAGAATTTATTTTTTATTTAGCGTATGATATATTAAGATTACATAATTAAAAACAATATTTCTATGGAAAACGTTACATGGAATATTACAAAAGGAACATCTAATATATCAATCTTCTTTGATGATTTTTTTGCACCCTTCCCACTCTTTATTTATGTTTTCATGTTTTTAGTCTGTTAGTTTGATGTTTATATTTTGTTTGTATTCTCTGTTTTGATTGTATTTTTGAGTCCTTCGACATTATATGGTTTATATTTAGAACCTATTTCCTTTTTTAAATGTTTAAAATTCTGGCCCTATTTTCGACCCAGTAGTGATCAGAATTTGCATTTGCTCCTCTTCTTGTGCGGATGTTTATTTTATTCGATTGGTGTCTTGAGTCTATAGGAACAACCATAGAAAACATAAAATATAACCTGGAAAGCTTTAAACAAGATTCGACAAAGTTCTTATATAAAATTAGAATAGCTCAGAAAATAAAAAATATAGAAACAAAGGACTTAGACCCCGAAAGTCTGTATGAGGTGATTAAAAAATATATTCATGAAGCGGCAAATGAAGCACTGGGAAAAGTTGAAAATCGGAAAAAAGGAAAACCTGAATGGTTGTCAACGGAACTAGAAGAGAAAGTTCTCAAGAAAAAACAAGCATATCACATATGGCTTCAATCCAAAGATCCTCAAGACAGAGAAATATACGCTAAATGGAATAGAGAAGTTAAAAAAGACGTGGATAAGGCGAAAAATATAAACTGGGAGGCTAAGTGTGATGAACTGGACAGATTTATGGGTGGAACAAAAGTGGCGCAAGCTTGGAAAACATTAAAACAGTTTAGGAAAAATGAGAAAAATGAAGACAACATTTCTCTCATAAAGTTAAATGAATGGGAAGAATATTATACGAAACTGCTGAAAGAGGATAGAGTAGAGTACAGATGGGAAAAGATAAGGGAATTAATAGACAACAGAGACGAAAGACAGGAAATCCCTATAATAACATTATCTGAATTGACGGAAACCTTAAAAGAGGTTAAAAACGGAAAAGCCGCAGGGCCTGGAGACATTCCCATAGAGCTGGTTAAATATGGGCCGACTGCACTTTTAGAATTAATAGTAGACCTTTTCAATAAATGTATGTGTGGAGACCAGGAAATTCCTAAAGATTGGAATAAATCTTATATAAGCTCCATATATAAGAGAGGGAATAAAAGAGACTGTTCCAATTATAGAGGTATTAGTGTGACGAGCTCTGTGGGCCGGTTGTACGGCAGAATATTAAAGAAGAGGGTTGAAAGACAGATACAAGATATTGAAGAACAAAGCGGCTTTCGTACCGGGAGATCCTGCCTTGATAATATATTTATCCTACGACAAATAATTGAAAAGCGTGTCGAAAGAAGTAGAGAGACCCATTTGGTATTTATAGACCTTGAGAAAGCATATGATAGTGTCCCGTTAAAGAAAATGTTTGAGGTCCTCAAAAGGTCTGGATTGGATTCGACATATATCCGAGCGATATATAAATTGTACGAAAATGCAGTTAGTTGTGTAAAAATTGGAACCAGAACCTCAAATGAATTTAAAGTCACTAAAGGCCTAAAGCAAGGATGCTGTTTGTCACCGACACTCTTTAAAATATACGTCCAAGAAGCATTGAGGAATTGGAGAAATAAATGTAGATTTATGGGCATCGAAGTGGGACAAGAAACTCTGTATACATTGTTGTTTGCAGATGATCAGGTGGTGGTTGCAACCGATGAGGAAGATATAAATTATATGAATCGAAAATTATTTGAGGAATATGCCAAATGGGGGCTTACTGTAAACATAAGCAAAACAGAATATCTAAAAATTGGAGGAAATACCACAGATCTGAGGCTTGAAAACGCAGTCATAAAAGGCTGCAACCAGTATAAATATCTAGGAAGCATCATATCAGCAGATGGCAGAGTTAAGATAGATGTACAAAACCGAATAACCCAACGGAAAAAATGCATCCGAATACTGAATTCATTACTGTGGTCTAATAAAATAAAGATGCATACCAAACTTCGCGTATACAGAGCAATTGTAGAACCAATTACCACATATGGTGCCGAATGTTGGACGATGACAAAGAATGAACGAGATAAATTAGACGTTGTGGAAATGGATTATCTTAGAAGGTCATGTCGAGTATCGAGAATGGAAAGAATCAGGAATGAGGAAATACGAAACCGTACAGGAATTAGAGATACTCTCTCAGATAGAATACAAGGAAGGCAATTACAATGGTATGGTCACGTGATGAGAATGGAGGAGGAGCGGTGGCCAAAGAAAGCCTTAATGTATGTTCCGCCAGAAAGAAGGAAAAGGGGAAGACCACCAAATTCCTGGAGAAGAGAAATTACAAAAACAATGCAATCTAGAGGCTTAGAAGAGGGAGATTGGAGAGATAGGAAAAGATGGAGGCTGAAATGCGGGAGGCGGCAATCGCCGTAGGACCCCCGTTATATGATGATGATGATGTCTTGAGTCTACAATAGCATGATCTATCATATTTACTGTCAGTTCGTCTGGTGATTTTCAGGTGCCTTTATCTTTTCGAGCGAAGTTAAAATTATACAATCGATTCCAAAAAAACTACTATAAAAAAAGAAGTCATTTTTGCAACCAGAGCATCAAAAATATTTAAAATTCGTTATTTCTCAAGCACCAAATTTCTTCATTTTGTTGGGTTCCTGTTCCATACAATGCAAGTTAAATGTTTACTTTTTATTTCAGTACTTTTTGTGACGGTATTTTTATTTTTTTATTGACGCTTATAAAATGAAAGTGTTTGTTTCGTTGTGTAGTTGCAACAATAATTGGGTTTTGTCCTGTTTACTGCCGTAAACTGCCGTAGAATCACATCACGTACAATCACAAAACGTAGAATCAATTGCAGGTAGTATTGTGTTTGTAACAATACGATTTATGTAATGCATTACTCGGTGTATAATATCTTCCAAATAAACACGTTATGACATGTTATTAGAAGACATTATATATATACAGACGAAACAAGCATCTGTGTTGCTAATACTCTTAAAATCTAATAAAATATTAATAAAAAGATTATACTAATTTAGGTATTTTACATCTTTATACAGGTATATAGTCGACTATCGCTCATCCGCCCAGTCGACACATTATTAATGAGAATGAAAACGTACTTTATAAACTAGATCTAATGCATTATTTTTATTATTATAAGCAGACATATATAATATTCTATTGTTACAAAAGCGACCAGCAAGGAAACATATTATACATATAAGCATGCGCATTAATGGCTGAACTAACGTATCTACACTTGAGTGGAAAAAAATCGACTCAAAATTATTTTGCGAAAGTACGTCTCCTGTTTCAACCAAAAAAGGTGTAAAATTAAAAATATTTATTGTACAATTATTAACCTCATTATTGAGTATAAACAAGTTTTGATTTTTGGTAAATCGGGTGACGTATTACAAATAAATAATGCAACACGTAGAGAGAGGGTCATAATTTGACACATTGAAATCGACACGCACCCACTTAACACATTTGTTTAACATCGTAAGCATCAATTTCCATAGCAACCCACTAATATATTAGTCAATTAAGTTCGCAACTTCATAACAAATGGATACCACATCCGTCAAAGCAGCTCAAGCAGTAGCATTATTGAGAGAAGACCTGAGCCAGAGAGCCGTGGCAAATCGACTAAATTTAAGCCAATCTGCTGTGTCCTGAGTGTATCGTCGGTACCACGATACTGGTGATTATGTCCGCCGACAACGAGGAGGTTGTAAATGAATAACAACAGAGAGAGATGATCGATTTCTTGTATCTAAATCTCTGAGAAATCGACATTTGACTAGTGCTGATCTCAAAGAAGAGCTTAGAGAGGTTCGAGGTGAGGCTACCAGCGTTTGGACAGTCAGAAGGAGACTGGTCTAGCTACTGGAGACAGCTACTGGTCCCAAGCTAACTGCAGCTCAGAAGCAAAGACATCTAGAATTTGCTCGCGAACATCTGGATTGGGACGACTATCAGTGGAGTCAGGTATTATTCTCGAACGAAAGTAGGATCTGCCTACATGGCAACGAGAAGAGGCATCGAGTCCATAGAAGGCCAGGGAAATGATTTGCTCAATGTTGTATACGAGAAATTGTGTCATATGGAGAAGGTTCTTGTATGTTTTGGGCAGGAATTTCCATGGATGGGAAAACCGAGCTAGTTTTCGTGCCTGGTGGAGGACGTGGAGGAGGTTTAATGGCGGGTCGTTACATCAGAGATATTTTGGAGGAACATGTGGTTCCATACGCAAAATTTATTGGTAATGCCTTTATTTTATTGCATGATAATGAACGATGTCATACCGCACGAGTCACCACCTCCTATCTGACTGAGATCGGTATACCTACAATAAATTGGCCTGTGTTAAGTCCGGACATAAATCCCATAGAGCATGTTTGGGATGAGCTTAAACGAAGGGTCCGGAGCAGAAATCATGCACCAAGGAGCATAGTAAAATTGAGAGCTGCGTTTAATGATGAATGGGAAGCAATGCCTTAAGAATTTATTAGAAAAGTCATCCGATCCATGCCAAATCGATTGAAAAGTGTAATTAGGAATAGAGGTTGTAATATCAGATACTGAAAAATAATAAAAATCATTTTGTAATTGATGATTTCTCTATTCATTACGTCTTTCTTGGGATAGTTACAATGATGAATATTTGAAAAACTCTGTTCGTATTGCATATTGTTTCATAATGCGTCTTCTAAATAATTAAATAACAGTTTTTGTAAGTTCAATAATAAAGTTACTGTTTGCACATTACATCTTGTTATTTTCATACTTCTTACATTAAAACAGAAGGTGTAATCTCAAATATCGCTTTTGAGTCGATTGTTTTGCACTCAAGTGTAGATACGTATTACCTAACGTAACGGGCTGGTACGTTACGTTCATACGCATCCCTATTGAGCCGAAAGTAACCGAATGCACAAGGGGATCTTACCCGATTATCAAAATATCAATATCCACATTTGTGGTTAAGTATATTTGTTTTGATTTTGATAAATAATGGAAAGCAGTAGAAAACGACTTCACTTCAGTAATGAAGATGATATGATATGCTTAAGGAAGTCGTAGGAACCCTTAAGTTCATCCAGAAAGGTGAAATTTAATCCAAAAGCGAAAAAGGTTCTTACATTGTATATCAGACATGGTATCTAAATTAAAACGGTCGTATAGTCGTGCAAGATGTGGAGAAGAAGCGGATTTTCTATGTCCTCGTCTTCTTCATCATCAATAATGGCACCTACATTTATTATTGCGTCCATCTCCAAAATTAAAAATTTAAAAAAATATATTTGTTATTTATTTTGAATGTCAAAAGTAGGGTTAAGTGACAAGGACAAGACTGGCACTGACAACTTATTAGTTTATCACTAATTCGATGAGGACAACACCATCGTTAAGTTACGTGCAGAACAAAAACTCTCAATTTAACGTTCATTTTCTTCGATACGTAAGTACTTTACGTATAGGGAGATACGTTACGTTAGGTAGTTACAAACACTCCCTATTTTCTTACGTGACGCCAATGATCGAATTCAAAATGTCCTGGAATTAATGATGGGCACGTGACTTCGGCTAAATTTCACCATTTACGGTGCGTGATTTCGGATGACCAATTTCATTTATTATTTGCCAGACATAGTAATTACAAAACACTGATACACTTTCTCCCCATATCTATTTATCTATTTTAAGGTTGCAGCTTAAGCGTATATCGAAAGATTTTGTGGACGATATATTATGTATTTATACAAAAGGAAAAAAGTTTTAACAGATACATACCTTGAAACTCTATTAAAACATCTGAACAACTGTCAGTTGTGGTCTCCATCGTTTTTCTGAAAAAAAAAGGGTTTTGATGTTAAACTAATTATAATTTTGTGTTAATTTTTATAATAAACATATAATGCAAGACACATTGTAATTTTACAATCCGATATTAGTCATCTTAATCGATAATACGATTCTCATTAGCACGCTCTTTTCCTTCCCTACTAGTAAAGGTAGAAACGAGTATCTAGAATGGAATCTAATATTATGTCGACTAGCCCTTCAGCTTATTTTAAACCCCTGTTTTTGTGGTATGTTTTTCACCTCTAGCCCTCAATTTTCTTTATATATTTTAGTTAAATTTATAATCTTACTTTACTTGGACGGCCTATACTTTCTATGGTCATCAAACATGAAAAACAGTTAAAACTGTAGGTATTTCTGTTTCAATTATGGTATCGTGATATATAGTTAAATTCGATCTCATCGCCAGAATTTGAACATGTTTATAGTAATAACATATGGATTACAATGCAACTTTCGGTTTCTGCACGCATATTTTAAGTGGATGCACACGTGTTTGTTTTAAATTTCACTGATGATGGTTCGATAGAATCAAAACGTTTTGAATGTTAAATAATTTATTCTGGATAATTTAACATCAAAGTATATCTTACAAAAAGTTTTGTTACTACTTTTCTTTTTAACACGTAAAGTGCCATGGAGGATCAACATGATTTCCCATTCTGTACACCACATGAAGATGATGTACATCAAACCATTGGCCTGCTAGGCTCGTAGTGCTTACATATTTATCTTATTATTATATTATTAGATCAAGCTTATTAGTGTTATTAAAACATTGTGCTATATTGTGTGACCTCACTTCACTCATATTCGGTGGGCAGATAGTTCATCAAATCTAAATAAAGTTGACTTTATCATTATTTATTTGATTTTGTATTTAGTTCAGTATATGCGTACAAATTTTGTGTACCTACATTACAAAGTTATCATTAACAAATTAAGAAGTGGGAATATCTTGTATATTTGAAAATAATTTTAAAATATTTAGCTGTACTCGACCCATTTTTATGTAGATACCACTTTTTTGTATTTTTTTAAACATCCGAAACATTGAACTCTTGATTACAAGTTGTGGAATCTGTACTTACGTGTAATAAAAGATAATTAAAACTTGTTTTATAAAGGATATCTATGCGAACAAAATAACTGTAGCCAAAATCAATAAAATTAAATAAACTTAAAATATTATTTATAATTAAATATTATAATAACATAATTTTATCATCTCTTTATAATTACTATAATTAAATTAGCGAAACTATATAAAAAAACTTACTACTGGCCATAACGTCAAACACATTCTTTCGGATCATGGTGGATCAACATGGACCGTCACATAAAAATGGCAAAATCGGGCAAAAAATTTCAAATTTAGGAAAAAAATGCCAATGAACCTGTATAATAGCTCAAACATATTCAGAATTTCAAATAAAAAAAATTGACCCCACGGTTCCGCAAAAATATAATCTCATGGTGGCACTGTACGTATTAATGTAAGCTATACAGTCAACCATTGGAAATAGTAAAAAGACATTTTGATTTAGAACATTAAGTTTGACATTAAAAATGACATTTTTTACACTAAATTGTTCATAATAAATAAAAGCGCCGAAATATCTGCAGAACACCTATAGGTTTTTTTTATATAAGCTTATAATAACTAAAAAAAATTCAGATGCCTAGATATGTCACAGTCCCTCCCGAGGGCAATTTTATTAGCCAGAGCTATATTCCCAGTCATAATTTGTAATACAAGATCCCACTGCAGGATCGCTACCTTCATAACGTAGTTAATTAAACCCACATTTTTACATACATTTAAGAATATGACAATACATTGATAATAAGTAGCCAGTCAAAAAGTGACCGCGCATATTTTTAATTAAACTAATAGTAATTCATTTTTGCCCAAAACTTTTATTTCGTTCGTTTATTTTTTTAAATAAAATACGCTGTTTATGACGTATACAAATGTTTTTTATAGCAAATTAAAGCTAATTATTTCTTATACGATTATATAAGGTTGCATGAGAAAAAAATGGTCGTAAACGTGAGGTATGAAAGATGAAGTAAAATAATAAAGTTAGCTCGCAACGATACTTACGATACGATAATATATATAATATATATATATATATATATATATATAAATATATATATATATATATATCTTCAGGCATACTATAAAAAATCACATAACTGACACTTCAAACATATAATATTTGCAGCCAGTTTTTAACTGGCAACCTATTATCAATATATTTTTATTTTTATAGTTTTGAACGTTTTCCAGACAATAAAAATCATTGTACAATCCTTAGTAAGTTAGGCATAATGCATCATATAAATTTCATATTCGTATACATCGCACCCTCTTACTACACTAGTACCAAGAGCTCCTAGAGACGACTCTAGAAGATATTAAATTAATGTTTGCATTGCTAATGGTTAATGGTCTACAGAATCATAAAGATGGCCTACAGTAGTTGTATCTAGACAAAAAAAAAATAGAAATTTGCGGGCGTTAAGTATTATAATGTATCAGCTTTACAATTAAAAATGCAACGCAGCTTTACAATGAAAAATGCAACGAGAACAACTCCAGTTTCGGAAATAACCTATCGGAGAATCTTTTGAAGTAATTATAATTTCAGCTTTTTCGTACCAAAGAAAGATCAATGTTCAATTTGTTCCAATTACAACAAAATAAGAATCATGAAAGGATAGTATTGAAACAAGATTATGAGGAGCATTTGGCCAGAAAGGCAAGAGCCCTCTTCTTAATGTACCTATCCGTTACGAATGTTGGCTAGCATTATTCTGAGGTTCTTTAACCAAGATATTCTTCTTCTTCTTCCTGGACCTCGTTTTCCAAATAGTTTTCCTTGCAAGATGGTTTGAAGGAGAGCATATCTGGATTCATTTCGCATAATATGTCCGAAAAAACTGTACACTTTTGAGATTTTATGGTGGTCAGTACCTCTCGATTCTTATTCATTCTTCTGAGGACCTCCTCAGTTGTGACTTGGTCAGTCCACGGGATCGTAAGTATTCTCCGATATAGCCACATCTCAAATGCTTCCAGTTTTCTGCACATATTTTCGTTCGTGTCCACGATTCAAAACCATAAAAAGGGACAGAGAAGACGTAGCATCGCAGTATTCTTACTTTTGTATCAAGAGAGAGGTTGTGGCTCTTGAAGAAGGACCCAATCCGATAATCTCCTAGTTGTTGGTCCATTCTTTATTTATTATGGGCTGAGGTAGTGTAGTGCGTCAAACTTTCTACAGGGGATTGATTGACGTAGAGTTGACCTTCTGTTATCCTTTTCTTGCTAATTATCATAAGCTTTGTCTTTATTGTTGAGTCCATATTGTTGACTGTAATACGTGATTTCGTTCATAAGAACTTGTAGGTCATCTAAGTTGTCCGCAAATACTATGGTGTCATTTGCATATTATTTAATGTTATTTAGCCGGTAACCATTTAGCCGGAGAGAACTTACTTAGAAAAAAAAGGGGCACCAAAAGAAGCTCAGTTCCGCTGTGTTACTTTTGACCTACAAGCTGTATTACAAATTCGATCTAGAATAGTGGGGCAGTTGTGTTATTGTAAAAAAGTTTGTGTTTATAACTTATGTAATTATGAAGAAGCTCTACCAAACGACGCCTACTGTTTTACGTAGTCTGAATTAAGTGGAAAAAGTGAGAGTTCAGAAATAGGAAGTGTTCTATTTCATTATCTTACTAATTGCGTTTTCCCTCAAGTAACTGAGGTCTGTGTGGATTTAGACACCTGTGGTGTGCAGAACATAAACCAATACGTTGCTGCATTGTTTTTATTTGCTGTTGAAAATATACTTAATTTACAAAAAAAATTAACAAAAGTTTCTTGAGTCAGGACACAGTTACAATGAAGCAGACAACATGCATAGTAGCATTGAGACGGCAAAGAAACAATTCCGAAGTGTATTGTATGCCAGACTACGTACAATTGTACAATTGTACCAATTTTTAAAATAGCAAGATCAAAAAAGACATTTACTGGTAATCTTTTACCAGGAAACTATGCATGGTAAAAGAATTCCAATTTGACGAATTTTCCGACATAAAGCATCTTGCCGAAAAAATAATTTATAATAAATCAAAAGACGCGCCATGGAAATCAAGTTAAGTGGTTAAAAATTTAAAGGATGCTTTCTCTCTAAGACGATAGTATTACATTTATTTTAATTATGACTTGTAGGAAACGTTTTTATTTATCGATATCTCTCAAAACACGGACCATGTATCACGATTAAAAACAAGGTCTAAGAATAGAGTTGGACACATTGCAATTCGGAATTGATAAGGAACCAAATCGTTTACCACAGGCTTCAGTTGATGAGGAATCTGGGGCAGATGGTTAATAATGTTTGGTGAAAACTTTACATAATTTTTTGTCTGTCCATGATTACTTTCAATACATACTGATTTAACAATTTTAACATTAATTACAAAAATAAAAAACTCAAAGTTTGTATTGTTTGGAATAAGCGATATACGTTTGAGGAAAAGTAAAACCAGATATATCATACACAATTGCCCATTATTAATTTTTATTTTGAAAATATTACCTTTAGCAAAAAACAGTATTAATTAATCTATTGCTTTTCATAAAACTTTAATAAAAATTCTTTTGTTCTTTATTTTAAAGATAAATAATTTTTACTAACTACAGGTAAAAATAGTTAAATGCGCAATTTTCCAATTCAGTTTTATTTTATTTTAATTTAAACTCACACAATCTTAAAAAATCGATATTATCTACAAAGATATATGATTAAAGTTTTATTTTGAAGTGATTAAAAGTAAAATTAAAAGTTATAAGTGATTCACATAAAATGTTGAAACTTCCGAATGTCAATTACTCAAATCATCATTATTACATTTTTATATGGTTGCCAAAAAAAGGCAATTAAGACGAAAATGACAG